GCTTATGTACAACCAAACACCTCATGGGTTTTGGTTTCTTAGTTTGGAGGTTTGGCGTCATGGTTTCATGGAACATTCCGCTTAACTGGGTTAATATTGTGTTTAGTGCTTCTGTTCTACCTCCTAGTTCTTTGCATAGTGCCTGGGGTCTTAAAAGCTTTCAAGCAACCAAACAAGGCACAATTGATCTCTATTCCCCTGGAGCAACACAGAAAGGAGAGTCAGGATCAGGAGGAAGAAATGGAATGTGTGACTAATTGCTTCCATTAAAAACTATCTCCTCTGCCATGAGAGCAGAAGAACTGCATTGTGCCTGGCTACTAAAATGTTACTGAACATTTTAATCAAAGATTCTACAGAAAAGTCCTGATCAAAAGGGAGAAAGTGCAGAACAGAATTCCCATGGAATCCAGAGTTTCTGGAGTTATGAAGGCTGGATGAACCCCTGAAACTATTGCCCTGAAATAATCTTTAAACCATAAACCAAAAATATCCCCTGAATTCTTCTTAAAATCAAACAATAGTTTAGTTTAGCTTAACTAGTAAAGAATGTCTGCCTCAAGCATTGTGCTCTTCTGAGAACTATCTATTGGGATCAAATTGACAACAGCAACTCAAAAAGATTAGATAGGAAACTTAAGAGGAAGTTAGTTTATGTTAATGAGGCAGGAACAATTCAGAAAAGGAGGGTGAGAATGGTTGCATAATTCAAAAAATGTAATCGATGTCACTGAATTGTACATGCAGAAATTGAATTGTATTGAATTGTGTATATTCTCAACAACAACAACAAATGAAATAAATTATATATATAAAAAAAGACTCTAGGAAATGGAGACAACCTTTCCAGTCTCTTCAGTACAGAGAGGTCCATTTGTGAAAGGGACTGGAACACATGTTGAGAGAACCAGTCTAAGGCATCCAACACAGTGCTCTTAACCGTGTGCTCATTATCTCTTCAATATTTTTCCCTTCTCCTTTTAATCCACCTGACACTATTATTCCTTAAACCTGGATAAAACTTAAAGCTGTGTTTGTATTCCAGGTTGTCCAAGGATGTTAAGTGTAAGTGGGTGAAAGAACAGAATCTGAAAACCTGGGATTGTTATGTTCTTCATTATACACTGCTTTTGTTTAATTAGAATTCTTAAGAAAATAATTTTACTACACATAGGTCAGCCTCCTCTCCCATACTCCATGGATTTATTCTAAATCTTCTCCTAGTCTTCATTTTTCTTACTGTAATCTTCCCTTGAAATCTCCATAGAGCCTTCTCCTACTTCAGGAAGAAAAGATAAGTCCTCAAGAAAAAACTCCACTGAATTATCCCTCCTCTCTTAAATTTACCAGTATTTACAGTCTCTGTAAATGATCTAAGATTTTATCCCCTTATCCCATATGTGATTTAAACTCCACAAAATTCCCTATTTATTTCTTACTATATCATAGATGTTACAAGCCAGAATGGTCTTTAGAATCAGACTGCCTGAGTTTGAACACAAAGCCTACTATTCACTAGCTTGTGAACTTGTGTAAGTCACTCTGTCTTGACAAATATCAGTTGCATATCTGTTAAATACAGTGACAAAAATACCTTCTTAACAGGAAGATAGGGAAAACAAAATGATGAAATCCATATAAAATAAATGAAATATGACCTGGAACTTAGGAAGCACTCAACAAAAGTGAGTGTTTATCAAATAGATGCAGTTCAACGAAAAAATATGGGCAGAGAATAGGGAAACCTTATGCAAAAAAAAAAAATCTGTTTTCTGTAACTATATTGGTGGTAGTAGTATTGGGACTACTATATGTGTTGTTGTTGTTGTGTAGGTGGGATAAATCAAATGAGTAATTTTTTTTCTAATTCTATTATCCTCTGTATCATTGAGAAGCAATATTCTTGGTTTGGCAGAAATGTATAAAATTGGCCTGCTATATCTTGTCATATCATATAATAAAGAAGCCATCAAATACTACTAGCATAATTGCAAAAGCATTCAAAACCCAACTTGATAAGGCTTTCATTGACCAAAGATGGGACCATATGACTATCACTAAGTATAGTAACTGAAAGTGTTTAAAACACATCATATATATATATATATATATATATATATGTATCTCCAATAGTTTATATTTATTATTTAAAAATACACTTACTTGTCATCTTTGAAGGATTCTAGGCAACTGACTCATTATTCTGAAAACCCCTAAATAAAGGGAAATAATCACTTTCCCTGCCTTTTCTTTACACATTATACCTCTAAGAAACAAAATTGTTGATGAAGGGAAATTTTTCTTTAAATGTAGTAAACTCTACAAGTCATATCATCCACTATGTTCAATGACTACAAGACATGAAAAAAGAGAGAATAGACTGAGAACCTATAGATTAAAAGAGGCTTAAAAGAAGTATCAGAAAAAGTATGCAAAATTAAACTGTAGCATTTAAATATACATACTTGTGTGGATAAAATTATACAAAAAATAATGGAGGTGATTACCATAAATAATAGGATACTGGTTGTGTTTAGGAGTGGAAGGAGTAGGCTGTGATGGGACAGGATGCAGACAGGCCTTCAGGGTTGGCTGGCAAGGTTCTATTTCTTAACTTGGGCGGTGGTTACATGGGCGTTTGACTTCCTATAAGTCAATAAGCTATAGTTTTGTTTTATGTGATTTTCTGTATTTGTGCTATATTTTGCAATTAAAAAGTTTTAAAAAGAGGAGGAAGATTACCTTAAGCAACAGGCTTTACTGATGAACTTTTTCAAAGTTCTAGGCATAAAGAATGGTGACATGTGCTCCATCACAAAGTCAAAAGCATTTTATCCAGAGTCAATCTCTGTAGGTACAACCTTCGTCTCCCTTAACCCTCAGGATGATGGACCATGAGGACATACACTTACTATTCTTTTTGGGGCTCTAAAAGTGGAGCATCCTCTTGTCTATAACAGAGATACTACTAAGTAGTAGTCATGCCAACATTCTCATGACTAATGCGATTAACTGAGAGAAAGGAAAAATCCCAGGTCTGTCCTGCTCCCTTGCTATTACTTACATAAATTACCTTGTGAACACATCTGTTTAAGCTTTGATAGGTTTTCCAGAGACATTTTAGTAAGTCTATCCCAGGTTCAAAGAGTGCCCAAAAAAGACTCCAGCACAAGTGTGGAGTCCAAGGACCTCTGCACTTTCCCCTCAGTTCTCCTATTCATTGTCAACAAGTGTGTACATTCTCTTTATGTCACAGCAGATAATGCCATTCATTATCTGAGACAAAAAAGAATGAAGAGGGCTGATATATAATGGTTTGGGAACAGCACCAAACCAAACCCAAACCCACTGCTATAGAGTTAATTCTGACTCATAGTGACACCATAGGGTTCCCAAGGCTGTAAATCTCTACGGAAGCAGACTGCCATATCTCTCTGCCACAGAGCTGCTGGTGGTTTCGAACCGCTGACCTTTCCGTTAGCAGTCGACTGCCTTAACCACTGCGCCACCAGGGCTCCTTGGGAAGAGCACAGGGCTAGTAAAACAGTGGGAGCCCCAATCTGAGAACATCAAGGGCCCAAGTCTGTCAGAGCATTTTTTTCTACTCATAAAGCTTGGAGAGCACAATTCTCAATTTATAAATCACTTACTGACTTTTGTAATATTTTTCCTTGTTGGAGTTATTTTGTTAGATATCTAACTCTATGACTTAATCTTGTAGTAGCAAATCATATTATCCCAGATTTTTTTTTCCATTTCAGTTTGATCTAAATTAAGATAATTTAGAAACCAGCTCTTCCAGGCTTTATCTGAGAGGGAGATTTGGCTAATTAGAGTCTTATGGGCATTGTCCATGTCAGAGGCTATAATCAGTTTAATTAGGCTGACACACACAGCCCCATGTCTTTACCACTAAATGAGGAGGGATCCAGCATGGCACTGATTCTTTCTTAGAGGAAACCCAGCACTAGCAGTGAGTTGAGTTCCAGGCTCCTAGACTGAGGCAGGAAAACCAGTGGTCTGTGGACCCAGGGTGTACTCTGGGGAGATGCTGATGAGTAGGGCAAGGACACCCTGAATAGAGTTGGTTGGAAGAAAACAAGTTATCTGAGTCCTTTGTGATTCACCACAGCATTACAGATCAGCTGTTATCCAGGCACCTGCATATAGACTGACTAGAAATGGCTATAGGTTGGGCTGCTTCGCTGGGACAAAGCTCTCCTTGAAAACTCCCTGCATGTGGACAGCCAGGTTGCTTAACATGAAAAGAAGTTGTAACTTCATCCTTGTGCAGTAGAAGCCAACAGCTAAAGTTATAGACTGAGTGGAGTCCACTGAAAAAGCAAAAATCAAAAGCTCTGTGAATTTCAAATTAAATGATATTAAATTATACTTTCTAAGCACTGGTTCAGCTACATCTTCAGTATTTAATGGGTCACTCAATATTTACTTCTCCGTTTGGTGGTTGGGCTTTTGGGTAGTTAACCCATATCCTAATTCCCATTTGTTCATTTTTACTAGAATCACTGAGTAGAATTGTAAATCAAGTTCCTTGTCCAGCTTTAATCATTAGCTTATGGTCAAATTGCTCTCCCAAATTATGTGAACAAAATCGAATGAAAATTATCATTTTTTTAAATTATATTTTTGAGCTAAATCCATGGCTAAGAACTAATGGGGGAAGTGTACGGATGGCAGCAAGGGGTCAATCTAAGCTGGGCCGTTGGGTTGGCAGTGGAGTCGGAAGTGGTTGGGGTTTGGGGGAGGAGATTCGCTCATACACAAGAGAAGAGGCTTAAGAGGGTTGAGTGGCCGTAAGTGCTGCCGCCGCTGCAGTTGCAGATGCAGTGTGGAGACTTAGCTGTTACCTAGGCATTGCTGAGGTTCGTGTCGCTACCCCTTGGCTGTTCGTTCTAGCTGCCTTACCCTTGCCAGTGCAACCTCCTCTTTCTTGCCTGCGGACCCTGCTCCCTCCCCGCCATACACCAGGTCCGCAGATCATGGATCCGAGCAGCAGCAGCAGCAGCAGCAGCAGCGACTCTGCGCCTGACTGCTGGGAGCAGGTGGACTTGGAAGCCCCTCGTTCGGGCCCGAGCGGGGGCAGATTCTCCTTGGTGGTAGCCGAGACCCAGCGTGAGCATCTTAGCTTGTCATTCAGACAGCAGCTTAACCTCAACGCCAAACCCTTCCTGCCTAACGTCCACGCGGTGTTAGTGCCGTCTTTCCTGCGGGGCCTGGCCCAGCAATTGATCCCCCCAGCCAGCACCGCTAGCAAAGAAGAAACTTACACCAGCGCGGGAAACCCTTAAGGTAAAAGGCTGGGACGGGGGGCACCTGTGGAACCTTCCAAAGAGGAACAGTTAGTGTTGTGTGAAGGTTCCAATTCAGCTGTTACCATGGAACTTTCGAAACCTGTTGTAGAAAATGGAGACATAAAAATTGCCGTAGAAGAATCATGGGAGCACAATAAAGAAGTAAATGAAGCAGAGCCTGGGGGTGGTTCCTTGGGAGATGCAGGGCACCCAGAAGAAAGTGGCCAGGAAATGATGGAGGACAAAGAGGAAATAAGAAAACCAAAATCTGTGGTCATACCTTCAGGTGCTCCTAAAAAAGAACACATAAATGTGGTATTCATTGGGCATGTAGACACTGGCAAGTCAACCATTGGAGGACAAATAATGTTTTTGACTGGAATGGTTGATAAAAGGACACTTGAGAAATATGAAAGAGAAGCTAAAGAAAAAAACAGAAAAACACGGTATTTGTCCTGGGCCTTAGACACAAATCAGGAAGAAAGAGACAAGAGTAAAACAGTGGAAGTGGGCCGTGCCTATTTTGAAACAGAAAAGAAACATTTCACAATTTTAGATGCCCCTGGCCACAAGAGTTTTGTCCCAGATATGATTGGTGGTGCTTCTCAAGCTGATTTGGCTGTACTGGTAATCTCTGCCAGGAAAGGAGAGTTTGAAACTGGATTTGAAAAAGGTGGACAGACACGAGAACATGTGATGTTGGCAAAAACAGCAGGGGTAAAACATTTAATGGTGCTAATTAATAAGATGGATGATCCCACAGTAAATTGGAGCATCGAGAGATATGAAGAATGTAAAGAAAAACTGGTCCCTTTTTTGAAAAAAGTCGGCTTCAATCCCAAAAAGGACATTCACTTTATGCCTTGCTCAGGACTGACCGGAGCAAATCTTAAAGAGCAATCAGATTTCTGCTCTTGGTACAGTGGATTACCATTTATTCAGTATTTGGATAATTTGCCAAACTTCAACAGATCAATTGATGGACCAATTAGGCTGCCAATTGTGGATAAGTACAAGGATATGGGCACTGTGGTCCTGGGAAAGCTGGAATCAGGATCCGTTTTTAAAGGTCAGCAGCTTGTGATGATGCCAAACAAGCACAATGTGGAAGTTCTTGGAATACTTTCTGATGATGCTGAAACTGATGCTGTAGTCCCAGGTGAAAACCTCAAAATCAGGCTGAAGGGAATTGAAGAAGAAGAGATTCTTCCAGGATTCATACTTGGTGATCCAAATAATCTCTGCCATTCTGGATGTACGTTTGATGTTCAGATAGTGATTATTGAGCACAATTCCATCATTTGCCCAGGTTACAGTGTGGTGCTGCACGTTCATACTTGTATCGAGGAAGTTGAGATAACAGCCTTAATCTCCTTGGTAGACAAAAAGTCAGGAGAAAAAAATAAGACATGGCCCGGCTTCGTGAAGCAAGATCAAGTGTGCATTGCCCGTTTAAGGACAGCCAGAACTATCTGCCTTGAGACCTTTAAAGATTTTCCTCAGATGGGACGTTTTACCTTGAGAGATGAGGGCAAGACCATTGCAATTGGAAAAGTTCTGAAACTGGTTCCAGAAAAGGACTAAGCATTTTTCTTGATAATTCTACACAATACTGTGAACATTGACTGCAAAAGTTCACCACCTTCTTTTATTTACTACCCGTTGACAGACTTTTACCCAGTTTGCAAAGAGAAATTTCACAGCAAAAATTCATGTTTTGTCAGCTTCTCATGTTGAGATCTCAGTTATGTCACTGTTGAATTTACCCTCACATTTCCTCATTCTACTCTATTCGTCTTCCTTGGTCAGAATCAAAATATCTTTGTAAGTGATGTGCAAGTAATTGCCTATAATAATGAAAAATATATATATTTTTTTTAATTTTTCATTTTCAAGTTTGTTTTTAAATACAGGCAACAAAGATATATTTTTAAAGGCATTATTTTTTCACATTCCCTTAGAATATTTAGACAACCCTTGTTCCACTCAGACCAATCAGAGTGTGTCCGTGTGTGTGTACATTTTAAAAAGTACAACTAACATGTTAATAAAATATTCCAGTTGAAACTCTTCAGTAGTTGAAATGTTTTTGAATATTTTTAAAAAATTGTATGTAATACTATTTAATTAGCTTTTTTACTTTCTTAAGTAATTGAATACATTTTATTACTTGAACTTTTTAAAACTGTCCTTCACCCACTTTTAAATGAGGCATTTACAAATAACGCACAAGTTTGTATTAAAGGAAAAATTTTAATTTTGAAAAAAAAATGTGTTTTAGGGCTCTTCCAATGAACTTTGTTTTCTGTACCCTAGTCCAGTCAATTCAGGAGCTATTCTGCTTACCCCCTTGTGATTTAAAAAAGACAGACTCAGACCATCTTATCTGTATTCCATTAGGTAACATAATGTTGAACATGACCAAATTAAAAATATACCTGGGGATTCAGACCATAGGTTGACTAGACTTATCTGTACTCTTTTATCTTAGCACACCCCTTGGTCCTGTTCACCATGAGACTTGGGATGTGAGACAACACAAATAAAGGGTATGACTAATGCTTATAGTAGGGCTGTAGGTCACTTAATGAAAAGTAAGTGTTAGTGAGGGGCCTGAGCTGGGAAATGAGACCATTCCATCTTCCAAACCTTAAATGCTTGGAGTTGATAGGAAAGATGGAAGGTCATTTTTATAATCAGATCACAACCCATTCTTGGTGTCAGAGACACTGGAAATGTCTCTAAATAACTTCCTGAGAAAATACCAATTATGAATTCTGAGGTGGCTGCTTTTATTTCTGGAAGAACAACCCCATAACATGCATAACTGTCAACAGCTGCAAGAACTTTCTGTTTTGGTAAGTGGGTAGTGGCCCAGTGGTGAGCAGAGACAGTATCTCTTAGGCATACCTGTATACCTGGAGTAAGAAGTTTGCTTTGTTGGAAAACCTCACATTCACGGGCTGGTTGAACAGTTGCGGTGGCTGCTTCTAGGACATCATGGGCTATGCTCAGGTGAAGACAGTATCCCCTGCTCCTTTGTTCCTTTGTGTATCCATTTACCTCCAGAGTGTCCAATCTGTCAGAGATGTTCCACTGTGAATCATCATAGAGCGTCAGGGCATCCACATGGGAAATTAGGTTTTTTATTCTGTCATATACCAGCTAACCTAATCCATTAGGATGTGCCTCACACAGTCTTGGATCCAGTCTTTTAATAATTAGAATATCAGTGGCAAGAGTTTCATCTTTAGAGTTTCTTCTCTTGCCTCTATACTCTTTACAAAATATAGACCCAATCAAATACTTGTTAAAAGTTTCACCCTGGCTGCAGCCACTTTTTAAAAGTATTTTAACTGTCTTTAATATTGAATCAATCTCTTTTGTAATTTTAGTAATTTACCAACAGAATTATTGTGGATATTCTCCACTGATAGGTCAAAATCACAAGCCAGGATGGAACACTTTATCTCCATCCAATTTGAGTAATTTATCATCAGAAACTGGCTCTTAAATATCTTTCTCGTTAGCCAGTTGTGTAGTAATTTCTCCACCAGGAACTCTGACCTGTATAAAAAACCTTCAGAGTAAGGGGTAGATTTTAGAAATTAATTATTTGCATTTCAGCAAGAAGCAGATCATCCAAGTGGTTGGAGACACCAGTCTCTATCTCTCTGGGAAAGTAAACATAAACTCATAGTAACATTTCTTTCCAGTTTCCTACGTGCCCTCCTTTATACTTCTTAATGACTACTGTTGTTCTCCACTACTCCAATTGGTGCCGTCCACAAATACAATATTAATTTCCCCAGGGCATCCACCTTCTTATAAAACCACATTCAAGGGAGTGTCCCTTCAAATATCTCATATTGCCTCCAATTCAAACCAGTTTGTCCTCAGGGCTTCATCCTAATTTCTTGCAGCCAAGATAATGTAGAATATCCCCAAATCTTGCTACATGCTATAAGTACATTATGAATTTCCTGCTTCAGGCTTTCTAAGTAAGTGTCTACCCATTGACTCTTGGCAACCTTTCTCCAAAAGTTGTTTCTGTGGTTCCTCTGGTCATTACCGGATGAATCAGACATTTAGGTAAAGGGGCTAACTCATTCTGTATTTCAACAAAGACCCAAGGAGGAAAGAAAAGGGGAAGTTTGGGCTAGGTAGAAGTTAGCAGACCTCCACACTGCTCATCTTGAGCATCTGTCTCTGGTACTCGGGAAAAATTTCTAGGGCCGACGATTTCGCTAAGGTCTCTGTTCTTGTCCTCAAAAGACAAATCCTCTCACAAAATAGACATCTTCACACAATATCATGGTTCTGCGTCTCTACAATGCAAGAACCTGCTCTTTTCAAAGTTTACTTACAAGCAATTCCTTCTCTAATTTTACAGTATTCAACTCACTTATTTTAGTTAACATGGACTGTTCAGTATCAGAAAGATGATTAGTTACAATTTCATGGCCATTAAAAAAGAAACTAAGGACCACAGAATTTCTGCCAAAACCTGAGCATTTGAACATGATCACATTGATTAAGTACTGTTTTAATATTCAGTAGGGCTCTAATACTTTTATGGAGACCGTTGGCATATTTCCAGTTTTCCTAGTTTTCAGTTACAAGATCTACTGTCATAGTTGGCCATTGGGGGTAAGGAGAATTTGATCCAAGGCCTCTTCCCAGGGACACCACTCTTATGTCCATGGAGTAGGTTATGTAGACTTGCCTTAGAAATCGAGCGAGGCTTTTTGAAAGCACTCGATGTGGTAGGTATAAATGAATAAGTGAATTAAAATGTATAAATAAATTTTTAAAAATCCAAAGGCTTAGACCACAAGAGGTGCTAATGACCAGATGCACCAATTTCATCCATGTTCTTCACTATATGCTGAACCCAAAGAACTTTTTAGTCTGAAAGGGAAGACGAGACAAAAGCACACACTTAAGAAGAGACTATAGAAGGTTTGAAGGGCGTGAGATATATTTAAGGAGGCCCTAACCTTAAAGAATAGTAATTCAGGACAGATGGGAGGTGGTTTCACATGATCCTGGTAGTGAGTAAAATGCTGTAGTGACCAAAAGTTAACATAATTCAGGAACTGTTTTCAGCTATTGATGGTAAATTATTCAAGGCCTGGAGGAGAGTTAGGGGTATGAAAAGGTCATATTTATTTTCTAGAACAATCTGAGCTGTATCTACAGATGAATAGGGAACGGAATGCATGTTAGAGTCATTTTGTAAGACAAAGAGGTCAGACCTATTGGCACTAGAAGCAGCATGACAGCCAACTCTGAAGATAATGATTTCGCCAAGCCTCACAGATACCCAAGTATGAATGTTAGCCCCTACATTATTTAAAAATGCCTGACTGAGTGAGTGGGATCTAAGCTATCACGGGTGACCTGAACATGCATACTAGTAACAGCTACAATGAGAAGCAAGTTTAGCTCTGGGCCACCCTTGGAGCCCCAACTCTGCCAGCATATTCCAGCATCGGATTTGTGGCTAGATAGAAAATATGTTCCCTTTGTGACATGGAATATACGTAGCATGACTCTGAGCAAACAGTGGTCCTCTTTCCCTTTCTCCTGCTGGTATTTCCCATGGTGATCTTGGTAATTTCGTGAGGTGGCTAAGACCCACAGTAAAGGGAACAGTAATGCCCTATAGGAACCACCATTCAGAACCCTGAGCAAGCCACCTTGCCCCTCCTCTATAAACCTCTGATCCCTCAGGCATAACATGGAGATAATGACAGTTATTTTCTCTGTGGGACTGTTGAGAGGAGTGAACAAGCCAGCAGATATGAAAAGTGCCCGGGTACAGTATCTTTCTCAATCCTCGTGAGTACTTTTTTCAGCTCATATTCGAGCCTTGCCCCCTGACTGTAGTATTGACTCTAGGAGCTTTGCTTGTCCATTTCCACTTCATTTCTTGATTACTGACCCAACAGCCTTTCCCACCAATGTCTGATGCTAATAAAAACTGTTTTTGTTCAAGGAAGCGATATGTCCAGTCTCAGGAGGGGACTCAGGATTTCTCCAATCTGATTATGGTTATATCATTCCTCTGAGCCAGATGATGGTGCTGTCAGCCTCCTCTACATCTAGGGGAGACAGATGACCCCCAATTCTGCTCAATGAGGTGTACAGGGAGAGAGTTGAGGGCTTCTCTGGAAGATACTGTTTCTTAATAAAAAGGACAGATGTGAGAGAAGATGATGGTGGTAACTGGAATGTGATCAAGATGCCGGTAGCTATTACAGCCATGTTGTGACAAACATGAGGCCATAGAATCAACTTGCTGATAATGGTTGAGCAGGGAGATGGAAGTGTTGGTATCCTTGTGACATCTTTCCCTGAGGGGAAAAAAAGTAAGGCCATCCCTACTTGTTTATACCAACATTGTTAAACGTTAACTACATGTTCAACTTAATTAATCAGAGGTAGCTTTTAAAAAAATAGGAATGCCCTTGCCCTTTATCCTGGAATTCTGATTTCAATAGTCTATGCTGTGGGTTTGGACGTGTGTTTTTTGTTTTTTTTTAACTTTCAGTTATAAATAGTGCCAAAGAGATACATGA